ATATATTCCCTCGACAAGCTCGCGCATCTGCGCCGCCGCGCGCTCAATCCACTCAGCGTGCTTTGTTTATCAGCTCGCGCACACCAGCTATACAGGCGTTAATACTGAATGTTTAACATTATATTCATTGCATACATATACTTCGTATACATCCTTAATCTCTAATAACTTAAGCTGCTGTCTGTTGTTCTGTTGTTGGTGTTTCTTTGTCTGAATATGGCACTGATCACATGCTGTGTGGTATCGGCGTTTGGTATCGGGGTATTTTAACGAGTACGAGTACAAGGGCTCAGTATCGGGTCCGATACCGATACCAGTATCGGTGCATCCCTAGTTAAAACAGTGTTTCCCAACCACTGTTGTCGGGCGTGCCGTGGAAAATGATCAAAAACGTCCTTATCTCTTACATTTCGTTATTATTTTAAATCAGTGCTATTGGTCATTGTTATGGCGGATTGTGAGTTTTACAAATATGTACCAATGAAAAGCATTCTAAAGAGCTTGTGACTAAACACGCCATTGGATCCTCAAACCTCATAACTCCACCCTGCCTTTATTCAGAATGAAGCACTGCGACGCGCAGTTTGAAGACAGACGTCTACTTCTTTGCAGTGCAAGGGTAAATAAAGAACTGATGTTTGAATAATGTTTTTGTGTGCATAAAGAGCAGAGAAGAGTCTTAGCATTTGCTGTCTAGTTGTAGCCAATACACTTTTGTACGTTTTAAATATCATAGCTGTTCGTCTTTTACAGTGGCGGCTCGTCGGGGGCCAATCAGCATCGAGCGTTGACTTTCAGCGCTGAGGAGGGTTGAGAAAAGAAACCTCGTAAGGGAGGCTAGCCTCCTGATATCAACCAATCATCAGAGACGTAACTTACGTGACATTAGTTTGAACGTCTCCCACTGCGCTAATAATGTACCAAGTACTTATGATGAGTGGCGATAAAACACAGATCTCGGTCACTCGCTCGTCAAAAACACCTTTAACTACATTTGAGTATGATTTTCAGAAAGTAAGAGCAAGCGTCTGATCGTATATAAAGCCAAAATACCAGCTCTGATGACGCAATTAATTATTGTAACAATTTTAAAGAACAAAGGTTGTTTTGTGATAGCTTTTGGAGCAAGGGCGCCGCCATCTTGCAGTGTGACGTCACAGTGAAGTAATACAAGCATTTCTTTACATTTTGAACACACGCTTGTTTTGAAATGGAGGAAGATGACCTTTTAACTTTGGGTTACCACAGCGTGTAAGTGCCGCACTGAAATCTATTCCGTGCTGTCTCACGCTTGAATGGCTTAAAACACTTAGATATATAACCAAGGCTTAAAACACGTGAGAATTATACACTTTATTGATTGTTCAGATACGTGATTCGTTAAACACTACGTCCAGTTAACAGCAGGAAAGCTGTTTGCATTCGCAGGTGAACATAAAATATGACGCATACAGCTAGTGAACCCCTCCATTAAGTTAGATGGAAACATTGTGCTTTAAGATGGAGTTTGTAGCTTAATTCACTGTATTTGAAATAGTTTGAGCTGCAGTTCAGTTGCTGACAGTTCAATAGAAACCAGCTGAAAGCATCCAGTCTCTCGAACCATTGAAGTGAATGTTCAGTTTATCAGTGTATATTGTAATAAATATTTGAGAAATGATTGTTGAGTCTATTTAGAGTGATAGTCAATGTAAAAAGAGCAAATGAACACAAAACAGCAGAACAACATCAAGTTAAAGAGGATAAACTTTATAATTCAGCTGTGCTCGTGTGTCTGAAACTCTTCTGCTCGTATCTGTTCTCACGCCACACATCTATTAAACGTGCAGAGTATTTCTTTAACTTCTCAGGTAATATCAATGGTGTGACCGATTTCAGATGCGGCCAAGATTACAGCAACAGTGTTACATACCCATATATTTAATTTTTCATAAAAATTATTGCTAGGGACAATTTAGTAGTCGCTGAATATTAGTAGGGGAACATGTCCTTAGCGTCCCAAATAAATTGTACACCCTCTCAGAATGAGAGTCCAAACAGCTGATAAAAACATCACAATAATCCACAGCACTCCAGTCCATCAGTGAACATCTGGAGAAGACAAAAGCTGAAACACATCCAGCATTAAGACGAGTCTATAATCCATAATAACTCTTCCTCCAGTGAGTCAGTGTTCTGGTGTGAATCAGGAGAGAGATCTGCACAGATCAAGCAGCGTTTAAACAGCTCTAAACACATATGTGGCTGGATTCTGATGTGAGAGACAACAGCTGATGCACTTCTTCACTGGAGGAAGAGTTATTATGGATTATGTACTCAATGTATTTGAGTTACACACATCAGAAAATGTGCTCACCCCGCGGCAGATGGCGGATCCTTTAAGTAATCAAGGATGAGTTTTTCATCAACAGCATCTTGAAACCACTGAAGATCCATATAGACTCACAACCTAAACGGCCCGAGAGAGACACGCTGGGTAATTAACATACTGTCTGTTTTAGTAACGGAGCTGAAGAACTTTAATTAAAGTCATTTGATGAGTTCCAGCGCTGGAGGGCCGTCACACACACACACACTCTCTCTTTCTCACACACACACACACACACACACACTCTCTCTCTCTCTCACACACACACACACACACACACACACACACACATTCTCTCTCTCTCTCTCACACACACACACACACACACACACACACACACATTCTCTCTCTCTCTCTCACACACACACACACACACACACACACACACACATTCTCTCTCTCTCTCTCACACACACACACACACACACACACACACACACATTCTCTCTCTCTCTCTCACACACACACACACACACACACACACACACACATTCTCTCTCTCTCTCTCACACACACACACACACACACACACACACACACATTCTCTCTCTCTCTCTCACACACACACACACACACACACACACACACACATTCTCTCTCTCTCTCTCACACACACACACACACACACACACACACACACATTCTCTCTCTCTCTCTCACACACACACACACACACACACAAGCGCTCAGTGCCAGCTGATCTGATGTGTTACTGTGTGCTTCACAGCTGTCGTGTGGACAGAGAGACAGACAGAACGAGCACAGCTTCATTGTACAGTCACAGCGCTGTGTGTGTGTGTGTGTGGTTGCTACGGCTACTGCATGGCAACAGCTGTTGAGTCCTCAGGGAAAATCCAGTTTCCTTAGCAACTAACATTTCCATGGTAACAGTGTCAGCCTCTCAGCCTCATCACGGGCCAAATGTCCATAAGCAAGAGATTACACACACACACACACACACACACACACACACACACGTGTTTGTTCCCGTGCGGTCTGATGACTTCTAGAAGTGAGTGACTTTTATCTAAACACACACACACTTCAGTGGAATTTGCATCTGTTTAATATTCATGAGGCTGGAATTAGACTGCATCTTTATTAATAAGCATCAGATATAAATATCGCTCATTTTCTGAACTCTTCTGTTTCTCAGATGCATCTTCATGTGCAGTTAAGATGGCATGACACATTATTTTGGCATCAGTTTTATTTTAGTTAAACTTTTAGCAAATGTGTTCTGTTTTTAGTTTTTTTAAATGGCACATTTTTTTTATCAGTTTTTATTTCACTTGTAGGTATTTTAGCACAAGAAGTTTAAAATATTTATATTTTGAATGTTATCATTTCTGTTTCTTTTCTATTTTCGCTTTAATCTTAGTTAAAGGTTTGAGTAATTTTGTTGTGTTTTATTATTTTAATAGCTTTTTTTAAATATACCTATATAGTATTTATTAATTTTTAAGTTCAATTTCATTTTACTTATCTTAATACTTCAAGTGAAACTATTAATATTTTGAATCAGTTTTATTTTTTATACTTTCCAATCAAAGATGGTGAAAAAGTCAATGTCACAGTGACGGTGTGTAAAACACTCGTATTGAACCTGAGATCCTGTTACTGGACGTGCGCTTCATCAGCTACACAAACCCTGCTGAAAGAACCCGTCTAAACCAGCACTGATGACCAGCTCAAACGGTCAAGCTGGTTTAGCATGCCGCCACTGGACAGACTGCACTAACAACTATCTTAACCAGTAGCAGAATCACCCGTAAGTTTAACTAAACTCTGTAGTTTACTAACATCTCACACACACACCTAGTATATTCTATTGCCCTACACCAACCCTACCCACACTCACACACACACACTCACACACACACACACTCACACACGCACACACACACGCACACACACACGCACACTCACGCACACTCACACACACTCCCGCACTCACACACACGCACACACACTCACTCTCACACTCAGTCACTCACACACACACGCACTCGCACTCACACACACTCACACACACACTCTCACTCTCACTCGCACGCACACTCACACACACTCGCACTCACACACACACACGCAGACACGCGCACACACACGCACACTCACTCGCACACTCACGCACACACTCGCACACACACACACACTCACACACACACACTTATACACACACACTCACACACTCACTCACTCACCCTTACACATCTTCTCACACGCTGGTTCCTATTCACCATGGTTACAGGAGCCACTTAATGAGAAATTTCATGAGCTTTTATCAGGAATATGAACTTGTATTTGTTGCCTTCATGGATTTACAGAAGAGTAGTCTGATATTTACAGTATCCCTCACACACACGCGCACGCTCACACACACACACCCACACTCTCACACTCTCTCTCTCACACACACGCTCACACACTCACACACACACCCACACTCTCTCTCTCACATACACACTCACACTCACACACTCTCTCTCTCTCTCTCTCTCTCTCTCTCTCACACACACACTCTCTCACACACACACACGCTCACACTCACACTCTCTCTCTCTCTCTCTCTCACACACACACGCTCACACTCACACTCTCTCTCTCTCTCACACACACGCTCACACTCACACTCTCTCTCTCTCTCACACACACACACACACACTCACTCACACCCTCGCACACTCACTCACTCACTCGCACTCACACACACACACACACTCGCACTCACACACACACACACACACACACACTCGCACTCACACACGCACACACACACACACACTCACGCTCACACTCACACTCACGCGCACACACGCACTCACACACACACACTCACACTCACACACTCACGCTCACGCGCACACACACACACACTCACACACAAACTCACACACACAAACTCACGCTCACACTCACACTCATGCGCACACACGCACTCACACACACACACTCACACTCACACACTCACGCTCACGCGCACACACACACACACTCACACACACACTCACACACACACACTCACGCTCACACTCACACGCGCGCGCACACACGCACTCACACACACACACTCACACTCACACACTCACGCTCACGCGCACACACACACACACTCACACACACACTCACACACACACACTCACGCTCACACTCACACGCGCGCGCACACACGCACTCACACACACACACACGCACTCACACACACACACACTCGCACTCACGCGCACACACACACTCACACTCACACACACTCACACTCGCATTCACACGCACACACTCACACACACACACACACTCACACACTCACGCACACACACTCACACACTCACACACGCACACACTCACGCTCACACTCACACTCATGCGCACACACGCACTCACACACACACACACGCACTCACACACACACACACTCGCACTCACGCGCACACACACTCACACTCACACACACTC